TGTGTGTGTGTGTGTGTGTGTGTGTGTGTGTGTGTGTGTGTGTGTGTGTGTGTGTGTGTGTGTGTGTGTGTGTGTGTGTGTGTGTGTGTGTGTGTGTGTGGATATGTATATAGCTAAATATAAAATTAAACATTTATACATATTAAACATCTTTAATTTGTAAAAGATTTTCGAAATAGTTTGTTTGTTTTTTAATTTCGGACAGTCGTGTTTGTATCTTTTGGGAAATATATGGACTTGATTTAGAAAGAAAGTAAGTATTTGCGAATTTGCTCACCTGAAACATGACAAGTTATATTATGTTCGTTGTCATTATATAATATATTATCATTTTATGTAAGAAATAATATTTATTAATAATATTTATTAATATTGATTTCATGTCAATTTAAAAAATAAAAGATCTATTCACATAAAATTGCAAAGAAGATAAATGTGAATCCAAGAACATTTTAAAGTGATGCAAAATTAAAAAAAGAATAATGTGACAATAAAAAAAAAATAAGAAAGAAAATTGAGAAGAGAGCATAAAAAAAAATGTATGAAGATTCACATATGTCTTCAATATACTAACATTATATAATAATATTTTGTTTTAAATCATAATATAATTATGAAAAATAATATACTTATGTGACATATGAAATTTACCATGCTAAGTTGTATTTCAGAATATACGTGATTAATAATATCTATTAATACTGCAATTTCATTGATTCCTCTGTCAAAATCAAATAGATTTATAATTAATACACTAAACAAAATGTTATGATCTTAAACATAAAAAAATGTATCGTTACCTAGGTATTATACGTTGAAAATGTTGCAATATGTAGTCAAGTATTAAGTTATTTTTTGCATGTTTCGCAATAATAGATTGCATAATTATAATATGATCTTTTGTTTTAAGAAAATTTTCTAAACTATTGATATAATCAATAATAATATAATGATCTTCAGAGCATGTTAAATATTTTAAAATTTCTTCATCATCTTTTCTAAATTGAATAACTCTGTTCCATATAGTATCATTTGCTTTTTTCAATCCTTGACAATATGTCCATTCTTTCCACCATGACATGATAAAGCTAATTAATAATAAAATAAGAATAAAAAAATTGTTATGACAACTTAGTTTTTACTTTTTTATATTTTGATTGTTTATTATATATTGTGCGTGATTAGAAAAATTGATTGTAAGAAGTATTATATTTACCATTTGGATTTAACAGATTCTTTTTCTACAAGATGCTGTATTAATGTTAATGTGGCAGTATCTTTACACACATAAGAATTGATAATACAGGCCCATTTAGCAGCCTCTTGTCTTAAATATGTAGTAAGAATAGAATCATTCTCTGATTCTGTATATGTTATATTTCTTAGAACAGCGTCAAAAATTATTTGAAAATGCGCCTGGAAATGAGAAAATTACATAAATTTAATTAGTTTATTGTCACTAATAAAAAAGTAATTTGAAATGAAAAAAATGTATATATGTATATAT